AGAGAGAGAGTACATGAGAGGGGGGAGGGTCAGAGGGAGAAGCAGACTCCCTGCTGAGCAGGGAGCCCGATGCGGGACTCAATCCCGGGACTCCAGGATCATGACCTGAGCCGAGGGCAGTCGCTTAACCAACTGAGCCACCCAGGCGCCCGCTAAATAACTTTTTAAAATTAGTAAATGTTAGCTTTCCTTGTCCTTTAATATACGTGTGGCCCATTCCTCAAGAGACCCCCCATTTAATCTGCCCCATGGCCACCCCCCAACCCCGACCACAGCCAGAACTCCTGCCCCATTGTCACTGACGGCAGCTCTTCTCTTCCAGAACATACCACAGTGAACAAAAGAATTAACCCAACCACATAAGCTCAAGAGCTGCTATGAGAATCGAAGTCCAGAAGAGACACTACCATACAACAGTGCCAATGAAATGCTCTCCAGAAAAGCTTCTCAGGCTTTTAAAGGACAAATCAACTTACTAGTATTGCTCTCGTCTTCTGCCCTTTATGCAAATCGAAGAGAAACGAGAGAAGCAATACACAACCTAGACAGAGGCACAAAGAAGTTCTCCCACTGTTGAAAGCTGTCCTCAACCCAGAGTAGCTACTTCGGAACAAGTCACTGAAAAGTATGGACGCTTAAAACAACTGATGAGCACAACCAACAAAGCACTCCCACATACAAATTATTCAGGGTGCAATGGCTTACTGTGAAGGGGCAGGAAACGCCCCTGGGGCAGGCTGCAGACCTGCTCAGCAGCTGGGTGTTTTTTTAAGATGCTCTTTACCCCATGGAGGAAGAGATCCAGAAAGTGTCTTCATCACTGTCTACTTTGTACAAAGCAAGATCACTAGGATCTCTCATCTTTTGGAACTTATTCAGTTGTTCATACCCACAAACAGGTAACAATTATGTCCATAAGCAACATCGAGCAGTACCACTTTGCATGAACATGGCGTAAACGCCACATGTAGAACAAGATGTTCTGGCTTAGCCAGACTCTCGTGGAGAGGCTCAGGAATGAGAGGGGCCCCTTTAGGGACAGAAGGCTAGGACAAGAGGTCAGAGAGACACAACAGTTAGGCTGCTGCACCACCTGCTGGGCCGGACGGGACCCCTCGCATTAAGCCAGCCTCTCACCGCTCTCATTTCCACGTCCACGTCGAGGACTGCCGCTGCCAATTATCTTTGCCCTCTCAATGCAAGAACTCTCCTATGAGTTCAACTTTCACAATAATTTGGTGACCAAATCTCAAATAGCATTAAGACAAATTTTTGCTTTGTGAGAAATGAACACCCATCTACATCGTAAACACACAAGGACAACTTCAGACACACACGGAAGAGGGAATGGGCAGCTGCCCCTCACCTGGGCAATGGCTGCTTCGTTATCAGCCAATCCCAATAAAAAGATCCTCACTTTGTCGATCTTCACCGGAACCGTTCTCCCTCTCCATTCCACTTCACTCATGGTGGCTGCCTGTTTGGCCCGAGTCTGAGTGATCAATGCCTGGAAAGTTTTCAAAAGTCAAAGCTTTAATTGCTGGTGGTGAAAGGTAGAAAGAACTGTTAGTTGTTTCTTTCTATAACTAACATATTAGACCTTACAGATTAGTATACAAATTGTATTTAAATTCCTCCATGGTATCATCTATCTTAGCTTATAGGAACTCAAACATTAAAAGGACATAACAGAAAGTTAAAAAAGAGCAACACTGGGGCGCCTGGCTGGCTCAGTCAGTAGATCATGTGACTCTTGGCCTGGAGGTAGTGAGTTCAAACCCCATGCTGGATGTGGAGCCTACTTAAAAGAATAATAATGACAAAAAATTTTTGAAAACTTAAAAAAATTAAAAAGAGCAACACTAAGGTTCAGTAAGGGTATAGGAGAGAAACTATCTGTATATTCTATAAACAGAAATGTAATTTAGTAGAAACTTCCTTAAAGATATTTGTCAATATGAATCAAAAGCTTCCAAAATATTCAACCCCATGCTTAGGAATGTATCTTAAGGAAATAACTAAGAATGTGTACAAAAACACTGATATTCATGGTAATACTCTTTATCACTTAATCAACAATAGTGAAGTGCTCAAATGAAGCAGACTTCAGTACAATAGAGTACTACGTGGCTATCAAAACATGACAGTGTAGGAATATTTACTGAAGTGGAAAAAAAAAACCACTCGAGATGTTATATTTAAAAACCACGTTACTGGGGTGCCTGGGTGGCTCAGTTGGTTAAGCATGTGCCTTTGGCTTAGGTCATGATCCTGCGGTCCTAGGATCGAGCCCCACATTGGCCTCCCTGCTCAGC